GTGTGTGGGGGGGTGTCTCTGCGCGTGCCCGCGGCGGCCGTTGGGAGCGGGGCCGCGCGCTAGCGGCGCGGGGAGGGGGCAGCGGCCTCAGGGCTGCGCGGGACGCCCTGGGGCGGCTACGGCCATTGTCCTGTGTCCCAGCAAAGGCTGGGGGCTYTGGGGGCTCTACAGGGCCGGGCCGCGCCAAAGCTGTCGGCTCAGCCGAACGCTTCCTGCCGGCTGGCTTTGAAACGCCTTAACCTGGCTAGGAGGGCTTCCTGATGGCTTTCACAGTGACCGTTTGGCGTACAGTGATCCTGGGGGCTTTTAGAGCCCCGTGGCGCTAAATGTTTTGCTTTTCTTCCGGAATCCAGGACCTGCCCCTAGAGGTGCAGGGTGCTGAGCCTGCCAGGGCCAGGCGACCTGCTCAGACTAGAGTCTAGGTGTTCAGGGGGCTTTAGGCAGGAGGAAACAGTAACGAGGGTTATGGCCGCAGTAAGGGCTCTTACAGTGTTAGATCTTCCTGATCAGCCGCCATGCTTTGAGGGGGTATGCTGTATCGTGTGGTCCTGGGAGAAAAGCAGTTTTAGATTGACCTTAAACCTGACCTAAACCTGATAGAAACCTACTTCAGAGCTACCAAAAAAAAAAAAAAAAAAAAAAAAAAAAAAAAAAAAGTTGTTAATACACGAGCAATAGTAATATCTCGCTTTTAAAGTTCTTGTTAAAAGCCATGGTTTTCCACGCTCCATATCTGAAGACCTCATTCCTCTGCCAGCTGTGTAGACTTGTATTTAAGGGCAACCTGTTGGCAGGTGCCCTGTGTTTCTTGGAGATTAACACAAGTTCAGTGGAGAGTAAGGAAAAGAAATGTGACTGCAACACATCTAGAAGAGTAGAATTATAAGATCTTTTCTTGGTCTAGCTTAAGAAGCAATATGTATATAAGCCACTGTCTTCGTGCTAGGGATGTATGAGAAAGCATATGATGACCTTAATACTAGGCATCTGCTCTTCCTATAATAAGCATTTTCAGGTTTGCCCCACCCTTGTATTACAGCCTTGATCTTCCTTGATCTCAAGCAGGCCCGTTTCTTCCCTCACAGGTTTGATTATAGGATCAGTACATAATGATGTAGCCAAGGGAGTTCCAGAAGACATTAGGGATTTGCTTCATGACTCACAGAAGCCAAGCAAAACTAATTAATATGCTCAGCAGGCAATTATACAAATTGCCGGGCAGAATCCCTGCAGAYGGTTGCTGCTTTCCCAACTGCTTATTGGTACTGGCCTCCATGGGGCAGGTGAAGTTTGCTGTGCTCCTTATTCTCACCGTGGTGAGCTRGCCTCTGTGGCTGGCCGAGTTCAGCCTGCATCAGCACTATTAATTACACAGGGTGTTGTGCTGATTTTTTTTTTTCTCTCTAACTACCTGGTTCCTGGGACTGAGCTCCTGTGATGGAAGTGCGGTTTCTTGCTTAAATTGCTTCTTTTGTTGGGAATAATGAACATCTGTGGCTTGCACTTCTTTTCTAATACCTCAGTTGCTCTCATCTGGTCACTGAGTCAGAGAAGAACCTGTTGATTCTGTGCCATTAATGAACAGGGCTGCATACAGTCCCAGGTTATCTGCTTCTAGCCCACCTAATAATCATCATCCTTCTCATCAGCTGCCATTTAGGGTAATCAGGCAGGTTAGAACCATGCAGTTTGTCATAGGAGCAGTGCCCTACAAGCCAGAAGGCCTGTGAGGATTCAGTGGATGAACAACTGTAGAGGCTCTCTTCTACTGGCGTCAGTCCAAGATGAGTGAAACTTCATTCTGATTACTCACAAATAGAAAATGAGTCTCTGTATCCGCTCCAGTATTGTGCTGTACATGATACTGTCACTGAAGTCAATGGAAGACTGAAATGTTTCAAGGTGGTGCAATTCACTTCTTTCTCCCGGACTGAAGTAAAGCCTGTATCAAATGCCAAGACAGTTACTGGTGTGTGCAGACAATATCTTGTTAATTAGTATCTCTGTGTGAAATAAAAAACATGTGTTTCTGTTGCTAGAAAAAGGCACTGTTTGTTGACACACTTTCTAATAAATGTGAATTATTTAAGCTCTTTCTAGTTTTGAGTCCTAGTGATGGYGGTTGTTTTTCGCTGGCAGGCATTTGTGCCTGGAAATTCTTTCTACATGGAGATATGGGGAAAAAATTACAAATGTTTCCGAAACACATTTGCAAGTAGATACATTAATGCGTGAGTGTTCTTATTTAGCAATGTGTAAAAATAAACAGCTGATCTGCCCACAGAGCCGCATGTGCAATTTACACTGCACAGATCTGAGAGCAGAATGTTTCCAAACAACAGAGACCTCAAAAGAAGTTGTTTGCACGCTAGCTTCACATTTTTGACTTAGGCATACAAAGATTTGATATTTATTTTAAAATTTCTATGGTTATCCTTTTCCAAGGAAAGCCCCTGTTCTCTAACAGGGCGCCTCTTCTGCCATTAAAAAGTTGTAAAAAACCCAGAAACTTGATCTAGGAGCGGAATCAGATTGTCTCCTGTAAAGCTTTYGGAAAGTAGTAGCAGTTGAGAGTTAAGAACATCTGGCCCACAGAAACTCTAAAAGAATCAGAGAAACTCTTGTGTGTTTGGGGGTTTAGTGTTGTTTTGTCATATTCCATCTTTAATCACAAGGAGGAAGGATTTTTTAGGTAGGAAAATGTACCCTGACATGGTTCTCAGAGGGTCAGGAGTCTCAATTTCCACCTGGTTGCCCACCTGGGTACCCCTCAAATCATTCAGACTGTGGAGATGGTACCAGGTTGGTGTCCTGGTACTGCCATGTAGTCACCTTCAAGTCAGTCCAGTCGTGATCATGCCTAACTGAACTTGCTTTATCAGTAGCAGTGCTATAAAGTAGCAAGATTGAAAGATCAAAGGATAAGCCAAGCTGAAAGCAGAAAAAGTGCAGCATGAAAACGTCTCTGAAGTGGTTGTGTTCGTTGCCATTACGGTCTTTGAACCATAGTAGCTAGTGGTTTGAGTCGCTGATGGAGGCTGCTCAGAGTCACTCAGCAATGGCCCTGTAGAAAAGCACTTGCTCCTTATGTTC